ATTTTAGTTCACGCGTACTCATATGAGATCCGTGGGTGAAATCCTCCCTCGGAATAATACACAAAACACTGCATTAAATCAAGTAAGCGTTACAGCAGTGAAATAATACACGTGTAATACTGATCTCTAACAGTTGCACAGTTTGTTATTTCGGCAATAAATTTTTAATGGATTTGTCAACATGATATTTAGGTGAAGGAATTTTTCTGTCAATTTGTCGACGCGTTATTTAGGCGAAGGAATTTTTCCGTCATTTTGGTAAATTTTCTATGAATTACGATTCAGTAAATTAAAAATTTACGATTGAAATGACACATTGCAAGTAAATAATTGTTAGATGACATTTAGAAGTCTTCATTCATTTATTTTTAATCAAATTATCTCCATTAAACTAGATGTTATGTATGGTTGAGTGGGTGTTGTGCTCCCTGCTGCACTTAGCACCTCTAATACTATTTAGGCATCACGTGTCGGAATCCCAATGAATGTCATTTAATCATATCTGTAGCGGCGGAAAATATCAAAGAAATCCAAAATTACATAAGTTATATTAATTTAGTTCTTAAGTTTTACTACCAAAGCTTTCAAGTTAAATATGAACTTTTTGTATATCAGCCACTGGACGCGGTTGGTAAGGGGGGGGGGGGGGTCCTTTGGGTGTTTCGAAGAGTGTCAATCTTTAATATAAACAACAGAGTTCACTATGCTTTCCCGTCGACAAAAGGAGGCTACGTAGCAAACCAGAGTATAAATGCAGGTGCATTGTTGTACTTTTGAGACGTGAATTAAAGAAAAATAAGCGCTTGTTTGGCTTCAGATATTAAAAAATGACATGCGCACAGATAAGGAAAACTTGATTGTAAGAGCATATATGTAATATCAATACTTAATTGCTATGAAATAATTCAATTAAATGAAAAAATACAGAATCATTAAAATAACAAAATAAAGTTGTCAAACTTAACATCTTGAGCAGAAAAAAAAGATGGACTGTAGAATAGGTTTTATACAATACAAATTGTGAATAGGAACCCCCTGATGGACCCCCTGAAACTTCAGAGGTGAGATCACATGCCTAGGACGAGTAAGTACCCTCTGTACTGATCAGGCTCAACTGTAAGTTTTATTTGCAAACAAAATCAATAAACCGACTATAAATTGGCGAAATGCTGACTTTAAACGAGGTTGTTGAAAGCCATGTAACATCACTTATTGGCAGTAGCCGGCCGCGGTTTATAAATTGATAGTACTCAGAACATACTCTTACGCAACGAACCAGTGGGGAGACATAAACATCATATGCAGGTAATAGTGGAATATTACTGCATAAATAAATTTCCTTATTCAATTTTTTTTTCTTTATACTTCACTATATACCAATATTAAAGTTTTCGACCATAAATAAAATTTTAAGAAACAGACAGGGCTACAGGTAGAAATTCTGACACAAATAGCAAATGATTTTTAGAGCACCTATGGCTACTGGAAGAAATTCCGAGACATATACAGAGCTAAAATATGACTCAATTCGGACTTCAGAGTGCATAAAGGGCCAGTTGGAAAATTTCTTGCGATTACACAGGGTAACTGGAAGAAATTCTGAAACGCACAGAGCTTATGGTAAATTTTCTCAAAGCATGTAAATTCAATAGCAAAGTTTCAGAGCGAATGGTTGAATTTCAGAGCGCATTTAGGACCAATACCAGAATTTTTAAGACCACACAGTTCTCTTGGAAGAAGTTCTGAAATACATAGGAATGATTGTTGAATTTCAAAGCGTATTTTGGGCTAATTGCGGAATTTCTAAAATGACACAGGGCTCCTGGAAGATGTTCTGAGACACATAGGAATAAATTTCAGAGCGCATTTATGGCCAATGGTAGAATTTCTTAGAGCAGACTGGGCTCCTGAAGGAATTCTGAGACCTGAAGGGCTAATGGTAAAATTCCAGAGCGCATTTAGGACCAATGCCATAATTTCTGAGAGTGCACTGTGTTTCTGGAAGAAATTTTAAGACAAATAGGGCAAATGATAGAGTTTTTTTTTTTAGAACAGATAGGGTCAATGGTAGAATTTTACGAGGCTTCTGGGGGCGGCTGATTGAAGAATTTCAAAGCAAAAAAGCCCATTGACGGAATATCAGAAAACACGCCAGACCTAAAAAAAAAAAAATTCCGAGACCAGACATTGCAAGTGAAATAGTTTCACCATAGAACATACCAGGTCATTGGCAAATTCAGAATGCAACTGGACCAATACTAAATTTCAGCGGAGTTACTAGTCCAATGGTTGAATTCCTTGTGTATAGCAGCATTATGTTTCGTGTTTCAAACCAATGATGAAATTTCAGACGGTTTAGTACATGTACTCTGAATTACATTGGAATTCGTGCAAGTCTAACAACATATCGTCTAATGGGGAACCCTGACCTGGTAATTAAGTAAATAGTCGAATTTCATACCAAGTACCTTAAATAGGGCTAGTAATAGAATTCAGTTTTAACTCACTAAATATACGTTTATTCCGTACTTATCTTATATAGACAAGGACGTGTAGTGGTAGGCAATCGAATGAAAACTGAGCGTTATTGATTAATTAAGTATCTAAATAATATCTCTGTGTGCTAAATGATAAATGTCTCTCTTTATGTTGTCGACAGATCCTCTCATTTGTTGACATCAAAGACGGGGAGATCCCACAGCATTTCCTGCACTTAATAGAATACAACAATTGTGATAATATACCTGAGTGTGCAACAAAACTCGGCGTTCGAAATACCAGAGAGCACATTCCAGGTTAGCTACCGCACAAACTCTGTGTAATGGCTACATTTGTCCTGTATTGAATCTTATAGGAATCTTTTCATGATTTTTGGTCCAGTTTTCATACGAATATTACATGTAATCTATCTTGTAGCATGGCCGTAAGAAGATAGAATCAAAATTTAGTGTCCATTATAAACCAAATGTATTATCAATATTTAGCTTAACGTTAAAATAAAATCCTAAAAGTAATAAAACGTTTTAATTAAGGGTTTGCAGGTTATTTTTAGAATTATGAGTTGCATTGGAATCAAAATTTTATTCTTAATACAAATACACTATCTTTAAAATTACAATTTTTTTACATTAAGGGTTATTTTACATTAAGACGTCTTTTCGTTATGTCCGTTGCTTCTTATGCTCAAGTAATAAAAAGCGGACAACAAGACTGCAGTATATGGTATAGCTTAGCTATTACTCTTTGGCTGTCATAAAATATCAGATTTTTAAGATCAAAGGAATTCGGGTATATATATATCTCCCTCGCGTGACATTTACTGCTTCTCACAAGTAATTTATAAGATGATTATTGATACAGTCATGATTTTAATATTTGACAAAACATCTAAAATATTGACAATCTTTAATACTCTAAGATAAAAGTTTTAGTTCAGAGTTTAAATAATTTCTTAATAACTTATACATATGCATATCTATACATTCAAAATATATTTTTGCTGCGAAAATCAAAACATTAAACTGAACATCTACCAGAATCTCTAATATATTTGTGTACTGATGAAAAATAATTAAAATATATTGGTTGATATAAACATTTTGAAATGAACACGACTGGAAATTAAAAAAAACAAATTTAACAGAAATAGCAATTAATATAAAAATTTATAACAGCAAACCAGATTTGGGAAAGAAAGCGCTAAAAATATGACATACATGTACATGTATGTATAACACAGGCAAAAAAAAAAAAACATAACTAAATATGTTTCGATTTAGGCTTCTACCAACATTTGTGTTGAAAATACAGTAATAATGGCTGACAAACTTTTTCTTTCTGTTAAACTAGCTTTTTTTAAAAAAATCAGAACTCTGCAACACGGAGGTTGTGTTAAAAATTAATACAAATAGGGAATTTCTGTTACTTTACACGGGAGTAATTCATACCAGGTAAAGGGGTTGGAGTACCGGATACGGGTGATCTGGAGTAATTAGAATCGAGTAAAAGGGACGTAATTAATTAATTAGAATCAGGTGCATGATATGGAGTAATTAATTCCGGATATGAGATGGAGTAATTAGAATCGGGAAAAGATGACTGAAACAATAAGAATCGAATACAAGTGATATGGAGAAATTAGAATCGGGTACATGTGATATGGAATAGTAAGTACCGGTAACAAGTGATATGAAGCATTAAGTACCGGTTACAAGTGATACAGAGTACCTAGTAGCGCGAACAGGTGAAAAGGAGAAATTACTGCCGAGTTCAGTGCATGAAATGGAGTAATTAAAATAGGGATATGGAGTAATTAGAATTGGAAAACATGTGATATGGAGTAATTAGAATTGGGACCAGATGTGATATGGAGTAATTAGAATTGGGAACATGTTATATGAAGTAATTAGAATTGGGAACATGTGATATGGAGTAATTAGAATTGGGACCATGTGATATGGAGTAATTAGAATTGGGAACATATTATATGAAGTAATTAGAATTGGGAACATGTGATATGAAGTAATTAGTACCTGATACAGGTGATAAGGAGTAATTAGTACCGGATACAGGTGATATGGAATAATTAGTATGCTTATCTCGTTATGGCACCCTGTTAAAAATAAAGTAACCCTGTGTTTACATTCTTCACATGTACCTACACACCCTTAATGAATCGTCCCCCATCCAATCAGCTCTTACACCAGCCTAACGATCGACTTATTAAATATTTGAACATGAGCCCGACCAGGAAGAAAGTAAAAAAAATGTTGATTTATAAATTTACTCTCCTTTTAATTTAAAAGGCGATCAATACACGACTTATTGTGTATATTTGCTATAAATGCATTTGAAATATTATCTTAAGTATGATTATGTAACCAGAACCTCCTTTCAACATTTCCATAACTTTTTCTTAAAGTTGAAAATTGTTTTAAAATTGAGAGAGAAATTATTGTAAAAAATGCAAATGACATTTGAAGTATACGAAATATACATACCTCAGATAATGTACAGCTCCTATAATAAAATGTCAGAGAAAGCGTTATTCCACAAATTAAATGCAAGAAAATGTTCAAACGACAGGAAATTAAGGGTCCCACACAAGAAGAGTCTAATTAACCATCTCATCAGGTTTTCCTCGCGCTCGTTGTACACTGGTAAAATTGACAGAGGATCAGGCAAGAAACCTAATAATGTGATGTTAGCTAATTCTCATCTCCAACTGTCAGCGTGACGAGCAGATTCACGGATCAATGGTAGCACGCGCTCAGGTCCCGCCCACTTCACAGCCGGAATATACACACACCATTACACACGCGGACAAAATACAATATAAATGGTGCCATCCATAAAAGAAGCATTATATTAGCTAATAATCAACACACATCGATTCCATTTTACCTGTTAAATCAACACTTCTCTCGGGGGAACTGGATTGTTATTGAAGGGCTTTGAATTCTAGACAAACGCTTCCATATGTTTAACGAAGAAATAATTCAATTTAGAAAAGTTAGACCCATGCATTCGGCTAATTTTTCCCCTTTTTTACAATTGACATTGAAAAGAAAGCTCCCAGAATGCGGATGCATTAGAAACCTGCAAAAATTGGGAAGTAATATCCATTAAAGTGTAAAACTTCAGAGGTTTTGCTGCGACAAACATCAATCTTTTTAAAAGTTCTTCATTGATTGTACATCTACCACTTCTCCTGCTGCTTCCTTGGTTAACCGAGAGACGCGGAAGACAAGAAAAGCCGCTTCCGAATTCAACATAAAATATAAATCTTTGAAAATATACAAAGGGACTTCAGCTACTCACGTACCCGTGTGTTGTGACTATCAATTCTAATACAGACCATTAAAAATACACATCGTGCAAAAATTGTCTAAATTTGGTCATTTTTTGAAGAACGGACAAATTGAATTGACAAATTGACATCCTTTTAAAAAGGATATCGAAGATCATGAATATCAATGAATTTGGTACAATAGATAAGACATCTTGCTAACTGTAAAAACTAGGCCATAACCAAAATAACGTCTTTATTGAACTACGTTCAAAATTCTTAATTATAGTTCCGTTTGTCTTAATGGAAAATATCGATATGATATAAATTTCAAAATGTATTTATTATCCAACATCAATTAACATTTATGTCTTACATGCATGACAATAACAGCATATTTTGATAAAAATTTAGACATTTGAACAAAATCAAGAAAATCATGCTATTATCGTCTGCCTTGCAATTCTGTACAGTTTTTCAGTGTCTTTCACAACAGATGTTAAAAAATCGAAGGAGTTAATAGCATGTCTTTGGAACATATAATTCCATACCATCATGAGAAAGCGTGTAATCTGACGATAACAATACAATCTGTTAGACATATTTCTTTATAAATTTATCCCATTTTCAAGAGATTATCAAGATCTCATAGAAAAGAGAACAAAAACTAGTCAGTCTTACAACAACGAATACTTTGATTTAGTCATTGATTTCAGTGTATATCCCTTTATAGCTGTGTAGAATTTTTTTATATTCAGATTAAGATGCTGAGTTTACTTCAACCCGACTAAGCTTTTTGATATCAAAGAAAACTGCTTCTTCAATAGAAATGGAACTCAGAAATTTTAGCATCTTGTGATTTGTCATTTACAAAGTTACTTCGTAAGAAAAAACTTACTCTGACTCTACACATAGTACTCATAGGTTGATATTGACCACATTTATGTAGTCTTTGGAGATCTAGATGAAATATATGGAGATAACGAACAGTATTCAAGCTCAAAAGTCCATTATACAATACAAAATAGGAGCAGAGCAAACACAGACCTCCAAACATCAGAGATGGGATCAGGTGCCATGGAGGAGTGAGCATCCCCTGCCGACCGGTCACACCCGCCGTGTGCTCCTTGTCATGATCGGGAAATAACGGAAAAATCCGTCGACAATTCAATGTGTAAATAATGGCCTAACAATTAGTATGAAAAACGTCAGTCAGCATTTGACTCAATGATAAATTGTATTTGCTGACAAGGTCATTGTATCGACCAAAGAACTTACGAAATGATGACTTTAAACGAGACAGCTGATATTCTTGTTTCATCAACTTATTTGTCAATAATTTACCTCGTTTTAGAAATTGTACATACGTAGAGCATGCTCTTGCGTATCGAATCAACTGAGAGATATATACCCCGTATGCAGGTGATGAAGGTATTGCTGCATAAGTAAGGGAAGTAGACGATTGAAAAGTTAAAGTCATCACGTTTATCATAAAGCTTGGTTGTTAGATTACCATTAACGTCTTTTTCAAGTAAAATATCCAAATATGAAACAGATGTGTCAGACTCTGTGGATCTGGTCTTCCAACAATCTGTTGGAATTTCGATTGGCACTAATTGTGCTCCTTTATTCGTCGGCCTGTTTTTTATAGACCTATGAAGCAGAATTTATTCAAAAACTTCTACATAAGGGAAAAAAACACTTGCTGTGGCATTCAACAGTACATTCAAAAACATCGACGACGTTTTATCAATTGATAATAGTTACTTCCATTCATATGTCAATTCAATATATCCCAGTGAACTCGATTAAAGACACCACAGAATCTGCCACATCTGTTTATATCTGGATATTTTACTGACTAAAGACGATATGGGCCAACTAACAACTAAACTGTACGATAATCAGTTTTCCTTATTTATGTAGTAATATTCCGCATATGGTGGTTATGTCTCTGATTGTGTTCGATACTCAAGAGCATGCTCCGAACCAAATTTTTAAACTGAAGTCAGCTACTGATAAATAAGTTGATGTTACAAGGATTTCAACAATCTCGTTTCAAGTCAGCATTTTGTAAATTTGTGGTTGTTAAAATGACCTTATTAACAAAATACTTATCAATGGGTCGTATTTTGACTGACATATTTCATACCAACTGTTATGCCTTTGTTTTATATTACATTTGACAACGGATTACAGCGTCTACCTGATCAATATATAGGGCTCAAATTAGGAAAGGTAAATGATTTTCATTTCGACAGAATTTTAAAAAATAATTCTGCTCTCATTCTGCGCTGATTTTACCATATATTATTTAGTTCCATATGTATGATTGAGCAATTTATAAAATATATGACATGATGTATGTGACTGGTGATGAAATTAAGATGTGATATGTGTGACTCGTAAACAATGGCCTGATATATGTGAAGGTAAAAAAAAAAAACTATGACCCGATACTGTGACTTTAAGGACACTTTATTTTGTAACTGGTAAGGAAACTATGACGTTATATGTATATCTGGTAAGGAAACTATGACGTTATATGTATATCTGGTAAGGAAACTATGACGTTATATGTGTGATTGGTAAAGACACTACGACGTTATATATGTGACGGCTAAGAAAACTAAAACGGGATATGTGTAACAGGAAAGAAATCTACAACGTGATATGTGTGACAGCTAAGAAAACTATGATGTGGTATGAGTGACAGATAAGGAAACTATGACGTGATATATGTGGCAGATAAGGAAACCATGACGTGATATGTGTGATAGCTAAGAAAACTATGTTATAGTGATTTGTGTGACAACTAAGAATACTATGACGTACTATGTGTGACAGCTAAGGAAACTGCGACGTGATATAATTATGTGACAGCTTAGGAAACTATGACGAAATATGTGTGTATCTTAGGAAACTACTAAGTGATATAATTATGTGACAGCTAAGGAAACTACGACGTGATATGTGTGACAGCTAAGGAAACTACGACGTGATATGTGTGACAGCTAAGGAAATACGTGATACTATGACATGATATGTGTGACTAGTAAGGAAACTTTGATGTGATATGTGTGACAGGAAAGGAAATTGTGACGTCTCATATGTGATAGGTAAGGAAATTATGATGTGATATTTGGGACAGCTTAGGAAACTATGATTTATATGAGAGGTTAGGAAATTATGACGTGTAATGCATGACAGCTAAGAAAAGTATATTTGATAGGTAAAGCAATTATGACATAATTTATGTGACTGTTATGGAAACTATGAAGTCATATTTGTGATAGGTAAAGAAATGTGATATGTCATGAATGACGGGTAAGGAACTATTGTTATTAGAAAATGTACAATCAAAACAATTACTTGCCAGAATAATCAGTATGTTAATTGTGGGTAACACATGGCAGAAGAAAACAAATAGTTGGTGTTAATATAAAAAGAATGTATATAAGTGTGCATTTGTATCATTTGTTAAAATAATAATCGACGTCCTTTAAGGCTCCATTTGCATAAAAATGCACTAGGATTGTCCCACTACCTAAATCACAGTGGTAAGTTTAAATACAATTAAATTTAGTTTAGAATCCTTATGGTCTATAAAAAAAAAAAACAAATTTCAGATAAAATTATCCATTTAGATCTTCAAGGACTTGATAATTGCTGGGATTGTATTTTTTTTCATGTCACTTTAGAAAAATTAACAAAAGCTATAAAGAAATTTGAATTGAACTTTTGAATTGTGTCTCTTAATTGTTGATGGTATAATTTCTGAAGATAACTTTTTGATGTTGGCAAACTGAAATTAACTGTAGTGATTTGATTTGAACTGAAAAGTGTAGTATTTCTTGTTATTTGTATCTTTGAACAGATTACTGCTTAGTGTTGGCAAACTGATACTAGCTGTATTAATTCAATTTGATTTGCTCCATGCAATTTTAACGTAAAAATTACTATTGATGATCCTTCCTCGGAGTGTAGGTTCGTGTATTTAGAGTGTTGTATGTCTTTTCAGTTGTATTGCTATAATAAATTGATTTGGAGATTTTTGTTCTTATCTGTCATTACTATACATATTAATTTTAAATAATGGAAAACCGTATGTATTTTTGCTTATTAATCTCCATTTATATCTGGCTTTGAAGATCTCTTCTTTCTAAAAGATCAAGGGTATAGCATAATGGGTAAGCGAGGACTCATTACCCAGTATTTAGAAAAGAGACAAAAATGCCAGTCCTCAACTCATTTGATCAATTCATTATAATTTCATTTTTTGCAAATCCACATGTGTCCCTCCATCACCTTCAGTATTGTATGATTTGCTTCAGAAATGAAGTAAAATGGGCTAGTTTGAAGAAAAATCGTCTTCATCTGTTGAGAAATTTAGTACATAGTAGTACTCTA